TTACTTTTAGCGGATTGCCGAGCTAAAAACCCAACTGGGTAAAGGAAATGCTGCCGGATGTAGCAATTCCATGGCGGATAGCGGTCATAGCAGCGGAACGGGCCAGTCTGAAGAACGGCTTGCTAACAACGAGCAACGACCGTCATCTCGCGAAAGTGGCATTGGTGATCAATCTTCAGTTAGTTTTTTACTCTCATAGTTTCTGTAATTTGTTAAGCTGGACCTATTGGCTGATTCTTCACTATATATATGTTTACTTATTTACTGTTGTTGTTGTTGACTTGTTGTCAGATTTTCCTAAGTAGCCCATTCAGGATGAAGCTTTGGCACGATTTCCCCTTCGATGGCAGCCACTTAGAGGTGCAACTCACTGCAGCGCAAAGTCGTGTCGAGCTGAGTTCCCTTCGGTGATAGATCGTCGAATCCATTGTCATCGCTGTGGAAAGGTAGAAGAATTATGAAGTAACTTTGGAAGTTGCTACGAGCAGCGCCATTTATTTCTCAATCAGATCGCCAATACCTCTCCGTGAGATAAAAGACGCTTATTTTGAGTTGGATTTGTTTTTTCAGTGAACTGCCTTACCTGTAGACCTTTTTTGTAGATCTTCTGTCGGCGATGTGTTAAAATGACTGCTGATGGACGAGAACGAGTATGTGACGGTTGTCGCGATGAGACCTGAGGTTTCGGATGACGAGCAGTTCAAAAATGAAGGAGAGAGGGATGGATTAATGAAAGATGGATTCATTGTGTATGTATTTTTTTCATGATGATGTACAAATAATCTGTTTTTTCTGTATAATGGGTCATAATTGGTTCTCGTCCGAGTTGATTTCTACAAGCATAACGTCCCCAGTGGGTGGGTGGTGCCGAATCCCGAGTTGATTAATTCTTTGTGAACGAATCTTGTCAACTGTCAGGCGACGTTTTATTCAGAATTCTCATTTAGCATATTGACACGTTTTTTTCATAAGAAATAGTTGCCCATTTTTTCGCTTTCACTTATTTTCAAATCTCTTTATCAAAGTGAAATCTGTGTCATTAGCCAGCCGACTAGCACAGTGCACGGTGTGCATGCTGGAAAATACACATTGATTTTACGCGCACGGTAATAGGTATCGTACACCATGGACATGTGATGAGGAGGCTTTCTGATTTACGAAAGCAGTCTCATCTCCGTTGTGATGAGCAATGCAAATAATGATCTAGTCTTGTAATCAGGTCAAGCTTGCGTTTCCTTGAGATGTTCATAATTTATCACAATTTTTCCAACTACACTCTGTTTTCAGTGAAAATTCTTTCGATGAGAGTTTTATATGATTTCAGCTACTACAGTATTTTATGAGGAGTTGCTTTCGTTCGTTATTATCTGT